CAATATTTAAATATAATATACGAGTATCCTAAACTGACAAATCATCTCCGTTCAGAATCGTTTTTCGTATACAATGATACCTATAATTGCATTCAAATTTAATCCCATCCATTACAGTAACCTACTGTACAGCAGAGCGACATCCACGACTTACCCGCTTTTTTGGTAATTTAATTGCAAAGTATGTACAGTAGTTAAAAAAAAATGTCTTTAAAAGCCGTCGTTATTTATACGCAATGTATTAGAGTGAAAATTTACAAAAAAATATATATAGTATAATATCATATATATGCTATTGCGTTTTGTGTAAAAAGCAATGTTGGTTTTTGAGACTGTTTGCATTTGAATTTCCGTTATTTATTTATATATATATTCTTTTTTTTTGAACAGGTCTGTGGCGTAAGTACATAATATGTTTATTATTATTTATTATACTTGGGTGTATGTACCGAACTTAAAAAGATTTGCAGAGACAGAGGATGATATTTTTATCTTTCAGAAAATCTCGTCCGAGACTTCGCTTTCCAGTTTCCACACTGCGCAACTAATCGCCACGTCTAAATATTCTTGTACATGACACTCAATAATTATATAAATGTCAACATAGGTACATAATGTTTATATAATATATAATGTATATATTATGTACCTACACATGTCGGAATAATGTATATTGTGTTTGTGTACACGTACCTATGTAATAACTAATAATATATGATTTGTACAGTTAAATACATATACATACAAATACATACTTACGTAAAAATAATATCGATACAAATATAATCATAATAATAATCGCATATTTTTTGTATAAATATTTTAATGATATTGTATCATAATCGTTGTTGTCGTCGTTGATAGAAAAATAAATACGTACGTCGGGCAAAGCGTCCATCGCAAACTCCAGATGTCCGGCGGATAAAGTTCGAGGATTTATATAACGTTCCTATAAGCGTATAATATTAATATTATAATAATAATAATTGTGCGGTGTGTGAATGTACAGCGAATTAAACGAAAACCGCTAATAATACGTCATGATATTATCATAAAAACATGTACCTAAATAATATGAATACCTATTMAGTCTCTTCGGGTCTGCAGCAAAACAAATCGWCGTGATATTATATTATTAGTTTATGTATATTTTAATAATAATAATAATAATATTGTCCTGGAGATGATGACAATCTCGATTATAATATAATATAACATACAGGGTGATTCATTCTCTATTTTTACCTTTACAAAAAATGATTCTACAAATTTTACAAATTTGATTTATTCAAATACTGATTCTTGGAATTTTTAAATTTACTCAAATGCATTTTTTTTTCAAGTATTTGTATTATTTTTTATTTACTACTTAAGAAGGGTTCTATTGCGATACTAACTTTTGTTTTTTGAATGAGAATCCTTTTTTTTACTGTAAATTATTTTGCAAATATTTTTTTGGAATTTTGATGTGCTTAATTAAAAATTCGAATAGGTAGTTTCTTAGTTATAAAAATGTTTTTATTAAGAATAATAATATTAAAAAATGGATTTCCAAAAATATGAAATAGATGCAATATTGGTACTATTACTTATAATATTTGAGCCATTTTTAAAAGTTATTAATGTTGATGGATTAGCATTAACGAATTCAATTTTCAAACACTAAGCCTATATATATATATTATAAGCCCATTACCATGGACCTTTTATTCCTATATAGAACACAAAATTAAATAATTTAAAAACTATACTCGTAACTATTTTGGGCGATTGTAAACTCTCCCGATTTTAATGGCATGTAAACTCTCCCGATGGTAAACTGTCCCAGGTTTAGTCCAATACTACCTGACGGGAACATATAAACTCTCCCGGGTCTAGTTCAGTACTACCTGAAGAGAACATGTAAACTCTCACGGGTCTACTTCAGTACTACTAAGCTAGCTGGAGAGCATTGGGTATTATTCGTTTTACACTGCAGTTAGAATTGATTGAGTCATTATAGTCGATATCGTTTTAAATATTTTAATTAAAAATACTTTAATGGTAATTAAATATTTAAATGACCAATACAGGTTAACACAAGATAAATACAGATTAAATACGGTAATACAATTCATAATAAAAATTATAATCACAATCTCTGCAGTGTAACTAATTCATAGGGTAACAATAACATTTAAAATAACTCGGGAGAGTTTGCAAATTTCTTTCAGGTAAACATAATATTGACCCGGGAGAGTTTACTAGTTTTAAAAATCGGAAGAGTTTATCATACGCTCGAAAGAGTTTACCACCGCCCACTATTTTGATTCTGAGTCGTCAGATTTTACAGACAAATTATATACTGATAAATTTACAGTTTAAAAGGGGGTTCTCATTTATAAAACAGAAGTTAGAATCCTAAAGTGGTATAAAAATTCACAAAAATATGAAAATATGATTTTAAAGAAAATTATAAAATCTAAAAAAATAGATTTTGAATAACTGCATTGTTGAATACTAAAGGGGTGAGCATGCTTGGTGAATCACCCTGTGGCTTGTATACATTAAGTATTACGGACATTGCACATATGCCATAAGCCACGTGTAATAGTATGATAATACGTTGTGTATACGCGCGCATATTGCACGAGACGACGTGTCCACTATTTTTTCCCCTTGTCACCGACATATAAATTTATAGCGACTATCCGTTATAATATAATTGTAGACTTAATATTTTAATGATATAATATTATGATAAACAGCACCGGAATGGAATGTGGTGTCGGAGACAATGTTATTGCTGCACGCAGACAGTCTACAAGGGAATAGTATGAAAAAGTATTAAAAAAAAAAAGACAAACACTAAATTTTCCCCTCATTGTCGTCATAGTTCTCAATTTCTCATAACATAGTAGTGCGTGGTATATGGGAACTGCAGTAGTTTTCGATTGCAATTCCGCCGAAGGATTTAACAATATATTATTATATTATGTATTGTATATTCATACAGAGTGATTCACCAAGCATGCTCATCCCAATATTTTCTTTTAATTATGAATTTATTCAAATTCTAATGTTTGAATTTTCACTCTTGAAWTTTTTTTGTACTACTTAAGTATTGCTTTGTGTTGATACTTTTATTTTTTATTTTWAGTATAAGCCCCCCTCCGTTTWACTAAAAATTTATTTTGTGGATAATTTTTTTGAAAATTTTTCTAAATTCTAATGAGTAGTTTCTTAGTTATTAAAATGTCTGTGGTAAGGATAGTAATCTTTAAAATAGCTTTAAAAAAAATATAAATTACACGTTTATTATATTTATTGATAATACCTATACACARTCTGTTCACAACCGGCACAATAAGTGTATGAGCTAATTGACAAAAGGAAAATCGAAAATTTTGAATGAAGAATGATGGCACCGATAGCACTTCATCTTTTAAATTACATGTAAAGTCGAATATAGTATTTCTTATACTTTCGCCATTTTTACAAATTATTAATATTGATGGATTAATGTATAAAATTGTCAAATCACCATAACCTTTATGTATTTTATAAATCCATTTATTATTACTAGGCAGACTTTTTATTCTTAGCACATAAATTAACTTAAATACTTCTAAAACTACTCGTAGTTATTTTGATTCCAACATGTCAATTTTTTCAGAAAAATTATTTACTGAATAATTTAATTTACAGTTKAAAAGGGGTTCTCATTTGATAAACATAAGTTTATATTTTTACAGAAAACTCCTTTAGTAGTGCAAAAACTTCGGAAATTTGAAAATATCGTTTTAAAGTATAATTAAAAATCCAAAAAATGAGATTTTTTAAAACTGCATTATTGAAAAAAAGGGTAATAATAGTTAGTGAGTCACTCCGTAGATTTTTTGACTTTTTGTTATGCGTGTACAACTGTACACGAGCAGGCAACACACGTGCTATGGGAATAATTTTGGTTTGTACAAGAATTTCGTAAAAAAAATTTGATTTGTTTATTTGAAAACTAGTATGCATTCCGAAGTCAATGTTTTTTTTTATGAACATGAGACTTMTTTTACTCGGTAATCATAATTACTTTCCGAATAAAAATATTATGTTTTCCAAAAGACATTGCATTTTACGGTTAAATATAGGTATTGTAGGTACTTATATGACCTCTACCTAGTTCGATTTGTATTTTGTAGAACCAATTTGTGTAGTCATTATAGAATGAAAAGGGGTGTATATTATTATCTGTGTTTGTACGTCAGTTTTTGACGATATTTTAATTATTAAGCAAGTTATGAGAATGTGAAATATTACTGTTTCAAAATTCTCATAACTAGCTTAAAAACTTAAATATTCTACAAAAAAAACACAATGGGAAACACTGATAATTTTCTTACCCAATTTTCAACTATTAACTCACACTTTTATTTAGTTTTAGGTTACTTAAGTTACTAATTGGGTATACTTATAACATTGAAATTGTTGACACACAAAATATTATCTACATATATTGTACGTTTCATCTAGAACACTCTTTATTTCAATWAAATTAAAACATTACATACATATTATAAAATCAAAAAAAAGACACCAACYACAAAGTAACATATTATTATCTATAGTACAGTCCRACTTTTAGTTTTTATTGTTTTTATTAAGCATTATTAGTTATGTTATATATAATTCACCAATTTTAAATTAAAAATGTTGGGTAGGTCGATTACACGGATGATCAAAATTAAATATTTCGTATTTTAAAGGTTCATCAATCATCTAAAATATTATTCACTTTTGTATACAGCCAGATAGAGTATAGTGTGAAAGATGGAATATTATTTGTTCTATAAAATCTCAATGATATGAAATAAAGTAAATGGTGAAGTTCACAAATGAAGAGCAATCGACTATCGTCTATCGAAGTAGATAATATATTAAATGTGGTGACAAAACATACAATATATTATAATAGTAAAAAATATATATAATTATTGATAATGATAATAAGTTGTTAGGTTCCTTGGAATCTATTATCAGCTATAAGTCGTTACTTGTTACCATAATGGCGTAATATGAAAAGTATACGGCGTGATTGACTAAATAAAATAATAATAGTTACTCCGACGTATAAACGTATAATAACGTAATTATATTGTCATTTATTATATGGTATAATAAATTGCATTATAATTTATATTATTTTGTTTCATTGAAATAACAATAGAATCGCCCCTATACATATTGTACACGCGTATGTATACGATTTAGAGGGCGCATCCAAATTCCAAATAGGCCTAAAGTTGAACACAATAGTTTTTATTTTTTACTCAGCAAGTAGGTACGTCATATAATATAATAGTATTGAGTATTTTGATGGTTATAATTTTGTTCAGACCTATATATGTCATGGCGGATTTCATGAGTAAAAATATCTTAATAAATAATAATCAAATTGAAATTGCTATAACATATATTTTAATACAATATCTGATATTGATGCTAGATTAAAATCAAATTGGACAAAAATAAATTCGTATATTTTATAATATTTTAAATTGTTAGGTGTAGTAGATCAGTGTCAAAGTGCACCATTTTGCACCATTTTTATATGACTTAAGTATTAATGTAATAATATAATATACGAATAAAAGGGTCGACAAGCAATTCCTATTGGAGCCTAGAAGATTAAAATAACAAATAAAAAATTTAAAAAATAAAATCATATTCCCTTTATACATGCCATAAAACCCAATTATTTTAAGATAATTATGTATTATTTTATAAAACTGACACAAAATGAATTTTCTAATTATTTAACTACATATTTTGACTGGCTTAAAATTTTTTTTGTGTCATTATTTTTTGAATTACACTGACAAAAGAATTTCTATTATTATGTCTATATACAATAGGATGATGCCTTTTTTGACAGTTTGCTTTCACAGTATTATTGTTATAATAATAAGGTAGTTTATCGAGCCGAAATATAAGAACTTTGACCGATATRATGATGAATTGAGTTTAATTTTTATCACAAATGTTCCAAAAGGTAGATTAAATTTCATCATGTATATTGTATATATAAATTAATGACATTATATATATATATATATATATATATGATAGGTATTGCCACCAAATGGCTGCAGGTCTCCACATATACAGTCATTGCTGTCGTTGAAATAACCATCACCACGCACTTTAAAACGGCACTATATATAACGACAAACGTTATGACAATGCATACATCATGTATATATATATATAAATATATTACATCGTGTTTTGAACTGTTGACAAAATATTTTATAGTATAGTTGTTTTCACGCATTAATCAGCTAGGCGCGCGCAGGCCTGTGCATTTCGATTAGCAGCTTACGTCATTTATATAAACATAAAATAATATCCCAATATACAGGACCGTGGTGTGAACCGCCACGCTGTCATTAGTTATGTCGCTAGAACAAAACTTTTGGCCCCGTCACCCGTGGGAGCGGAACGGTTGCGTAGTCGTTATTATTATCATCGTCATCAGACTAGATTATTATTATTATTATTATTACATGGGATCCGGTACAGGCGGCGGCGCGGGAGAGCGGATATTTCGTTTGTGTGCATTAAATGTATATATATATATATAAATATATTAATTCGGTGGCGGCATGTACGGTAGACGACACACATCTGCAACGATTTTGGTTTAAATGAATGAAAAAATTAATAGGAGATTGGATGAGTGTAAAAAAAAATCTGGTCAGTCGTCTAGTCGTAAATCTCGCACGTATGTTCGCCTTTGCAAATAATTTACAACGTGTGAACAAAAGTGTTTAAAATTTGCACATCACAAAAAAAACACATTTTTTTCATTTTTTATTCTAATCCACGTGGCAAATGCTAACATATTTTATGGATGACAAAACCAAATATTATAATATAATGGATCATTGCTTATAGTGGCGCCGATTTTAGTTTAAAAAAGCCGAGAAAGTTACTATGTTGTATCTTGTATAGACTTATAGTTATATCTTACAGGTTTCCAGTGACAAGTGCCTCGCCATTGAATTGGGCAATGTAAAGTATGTTCAGTTGAATTGAATTACCTATACATTGATGAGATTGTTTATTGCATAGAAAAAACGACGCCGAGTGGAAACTATTTATTTCTATGACCATTGTGTAATGATGTGCGCTTAAGCCATCATCTTTTTAGATTCAATATATATAATAAAATAATTATAATAATTGTTAGTCATTATAATATTTGTTAGTTAAATAAATTAATAAGTATTATTGTAAATTAAAGAAAAAAGTGTTTTTATTGGTCATCGCATTTTGTACCTCAGATATTGACTACGGTTTCAACAGGCAAGGATCAGAGAGGTACCTAATATCATTTAATTTATAATATAATAGTTAATAAGTAATTGATTTAAAGACATACAACAACACACAGTTGTTTAAGTGTCGTTTAAATCATTACAATTGCATACATGTATTGTATATATTATTAATATTGTTATAGCATAATAGGATAGGACTCATTAACTTTAGAGGTAATCCATCTTATTATCAATTTTATGTATAGGTATATAAATATATAATGTATATCTAAATTGTAAATTGTAATTGACGGAATAAATATATATTTATATTATACCTATAATGTTATTAAATAGTCTGAATGGATCCGTAGTTTTAACTAAAAATAGCTTAAACAAGTCTAATATTTTTTAATTATTTTTTTTAATTCACTGATTATAAAAATAATAGTGCTGCAGCAACTTGCAAGTAATATAACTACTAGCTAGTGGCGTGTTTCAAATTTCTTCTAAATTCTATGTTTGTATTGTTTGTAATACCTAGGGCTCGGATTTTGTAGCAAAATAAACCCTTAAAATTACTAATACCCATTATCTCAGTATAAAAATGTACTTATCAAWCAAAATTTCCATTAGATTTTATTGTTAAATGGAAACAATTCTAAAGAAATTAAGTAACGCATTACAAAAAAGTAACGTATAAAAAGCGAACAATAACGCGTACTTTCTGTACATTCTATAATCCAACACTGGATTTAAGATTACTATAACTATACCTACTGTTGAATGCATATATCTATATATATGATTATATTTATAYATACTAATATTAGACTTATACGTTATTGCTAACAAAATTCAATAGTCTTACATAAACTTTAAATTAAGTTTATTATTGTCGCGATTGACGACCGAAGCAGTAAAAATTTTACGGATTTATAATAAATTATAAATACCTACATGTAATGTACCATATATAATACTAAAAATAAATATTATGGCGTTATAAAGCCCATAAAATGTGTTTAACGTTATCTATTTGTCGTAAGATGACACACGATATCCCTTATAATACTATATAATACGATAATGTATAATAGTAATAATAATGTGTACGAGTTTACGACATCCCGAAACATATATCTATATATTTAAGGACGTGTTTCCACGTGTAGAA